TACAAAATGTGGGAACTACAGATAACTCTAAAGAAGAAATGATTAGTCCACCACAAGCAGCAATGTCTATTATTTGAATGTTTTTCATAGGTCAGATAGAAACAAAACATTTAAAGAAAATTGGGAGGTTTTGAGCAATAACCACATCTTTCGGTTGATGTCAAGAACAACACATTCTTCCAAAAACATTTCCTGATATTTCTGTCAGGGATCAAATCCTGTACTGACCCTGAGGGTTATCCTTGGGCTTTGATCTCTTGCCTATTTCCATTATACTCACAAACATTTGCACTCCATGTGCTGGGAACTCAGTCCTAGAGTTAATTGTTTTATTGGTTCTAGCCTCCTACTCTAGCTAGTTATCCAGGTAGCTAGTGCCCCAATTTCAGAGGAAAACAGCTGGTAATAATCTCTATTGCTCCCCCACCCACTTCCTCTAAGCCAGCTCTTGGTATACACAGGTATCCTTACTTCCACTCCAAACTCCCCCCACTCTTGTGCACGATTCAGGGGAGGGCACGGATGTGGTGGTCATTCTAGCACAGGAGGTGGTCCCCCTTGCCCACTTGATGCCTGGGTCACAGTTGTCCTGCTAGTCCCTAAATACACCTTCTGCCGGTTCTGCCCAGTCTCCTGCCCCTACTTGGCTTCTTCTAGTAATTCTCCACTTATACCCCTAGCTGAGTAGCTCCCCTCAAGGCAAAAACTTTTCTCCCTGTCCTTGGAATGCACCTTTGTTCCTGTGACTCATCCTACCCTGTACTAGTTGTATTCTTGACCCCTACCTCGCTCCGTGCATGATAGCAAAGTTCTCGTCCAACTGCTGGTATTTCCCCATGATCCAGGACAGGAAAGCTAGGGTTTCCTGGACACCAGTGATCTCATTACAACAACTTTCTTCCACCTTCAAGATACACCTTTATCTCCAATGGACTCCTAAAATGACCATCTAGGCTCAGACCAGCGGTGATTAACCAGCACCCCCATTAATGTTCTATCGCTCTGCTAGCTCAGATGTGTACAAATGCAGGAGATAACAGAGGAAAACTGGCTCTGTGCAGCACTAACCCACAGCTTCTAGGACTTTAGCCAGGCCCGGAGGATAAATAACATTGCCCGGAAATGCAACTTTGGGAGAAAGACGGAGGGAAGTCTGATTTCCCCAGAATTGAAACTAAGGCAGTTAGACAGCTTCTGGGGATCATAGGGACTTTCAGAGTGATAATGTTACATGCTGATTGTTACCTGTGAAGTTCTCATGTAAATTATTAAAATCTTCTAGGTAACGCTTTCATTTGAAAGTCCTTCATAACCATATGATTCATTTTTATTTTCAAAAGAAAGATAAACAGTTTCCCATTGCCAGTGGACTCTAAAGAATCTTTTAAAAAAACTCTTGACTGACTTTATACAAGAGAGAAAACAAACCCTCTTTTGTGGAAGCCACTGTTTTTCCAGTTTCTGCTACTAACAGATAATAGATTGAGAGCAAATGGCTGTTAATTATCTAAAACTGAAACCCAGAAAGACTAAGAACACAAGGTTTATACTTCCCCAAATAGATTTGAAGGAATAGAATATAGGACAGAACTTTCTTTTGGGAGGAAAGAGACAGAGCTAGTTGGTGGGGAGAGCACTAGAGTGAGAGCAGGTGGATCTCTGAGAAAGGCCTTGGCCTGTTCCCTGAGCTGAAAAAGCTCAGGAAAGGGAGGACAGTAAAAATGGATTAGTTTTCCATTGCTTCTGTAACAGTACCACAGACTTAGTGGCTTAAAACAACATACATTTATTATCTTACAGTTCTGAAGACCAGCAGTCCAAAAAGGCTCCCAATGGGCTAAAATCAACATTTTGACAGGGCTGGTTCTTTCTGGAAGCTCTGGGGAGAATTTGTTTTCTTGCCTTTTCCAGCTTCTAGAAGCTGCCTGCATCTCTTGGCTCATGGTTCGCTTCCACATTCAGAAGCAGCAATGACCTGTGGAGTCTTTCTCACATCGCATTATTCTGACACTGATTCTCTGCTTTCCTCTTCCACTTTGGAGGAGCTGGTGATGACATTGGGCCCCCCTGAATAATTCAAAATAATCTCCCCATCAAGGTCAGTAAGGTAAGCAAACTTAATCCCCCATCTGGAACCTTAATTCACTCTTGCCACATAATTTATCATCATAGGTTCTGGAGATTAGGATGTGGACATCTTTGGGGGGCTGTTACTCAGCCCTCAACAGATTCCTGTACAGATTTGGAGACACGTGCTCTGTTTTCCCTCTGGCGCCTTGAAAGCCAGTCTCCATGAATTCTCCACACCAGCATGGGGAGGCAGCAGTGAAGTAGAGGTCAGGAGGGAGGGGCCTGGGAGCTGCCTGGCTGTCCCCAGGCCCCAGTGTTCTCTATTCAGGAGAAAGCTGGCAGGCCTGGGAGGAGCCTAGCGGTTGGCACAAGGTAATGCAGCTGTGAAAATCACCATGGATCCCATGACTGGGGACCATATGGGGATGCCAGGCCTCAGAGAATGCCAGTGGGGAGGCGTAACAATTACTGAGGGCCCGATAAGAATGTTCTCAGAGATGTCAGTTGGAGTTGCTGATGTTTGAGGAACACCACCTCCCTTTTCACTAAAAGCCCTCATGGAAGAGGGAGGGAAGAAACCTCTGAACTGACCCCCGGAAATCTGAGTCGATTCAGAAAATTCCGAAGTTGCTGAGAAAACCCCAATTTAATTGAGTTTCCTCTCACTAGGCTGAATTGGAATTTGAGATAGAGATGAAGCTGTTACAGAAAAATAAAATTCATGTTTTACACCCCTGATTTTGTCTGAGTTGTGCCTGCAGCCTGTAAATGAGGACGATGTCGAGTCTCCCATTCTGACAAGAATATTGGGAAATACTACTTCATTTGTAAGCACGTGGTGAAACGGAGCTTAGTGTAAATGTTGCATGTTTTCCTTGATGAGCCTCCTCCAGATCAGCAACATGGGTGAGCTGCATGTTGAAGGATGAGTGTGTGACATTGTGCACAGCAAAGTAACTGTTTTTCTACATGGCTGTTTTGACACAAAAAAACCAAGCCCTCAAACTTTTCACCTTTCTTTTTTTTGTTTGTTTTTGTTTTAAGGTGAAGTAAAATGTCAAATATAAGTCTTCACTAAGCTCTGTGCCCTGCTCAGAGGCATGATGAGGGCCGGAGGAGCAGGTGGGGCCTGTGGCTGGTGCCCTTCCTGGCTCGGGGAGCAGGTACCTCACCAACATCTTCCTGTGTGAGCCCTCCTCCGTGTCTTACGGTCACGCACCCACATGGTGCCCTTGAATGCCTTTTCAGCCAAATGAACAACCCTTACATCAACAAGTTACTTTAAAAATCATGGAAAGGCAGCCCTTTGGAAGAAAGTGGTCAGAGGAAGAAGTCAGCAAGAGCTGTGAAGCTGAGGCCTCACACAGACTTAATTGCTATATTTTGGCTTTGCTTAAGAGCAGCATTTAGAGTGATCTGAGAAACTACTGCCAAACTTGTGACGGTCTTCCCTTGGTGCTGGAACCAGAGAAGCAGAGCATGGGGACCTCTGGGGGTCTGATTGACTTTTTGGCTTTGTCATCAGGAGCCAGTGTTGCTAGGACTGACCACTTGAACCGGGTCCCAGAGTTCTTGGGGTTATTATGAAGAAAGTTTTTGTCATCAGTGGGCTTGTCATTAAAATCTGGGTAAACAAATAAGGTTTGTTTTATATTCTAAGCAAGTGAAAAAAATAATTGCAATGTCAGTAATAATATTAACTAATATTTATTGTTTACTATGTGCTAGGCACCATGCTAAAGTACTTTTACATACATTATCTCATTTAATTCACATAAGCGCTCTGAGGGAAAAGAACGATTATTACCTCTGTGCTAGAGACAAAGAAACTGGGGCTTAGCGAAGTTAAGGTTCCCTGCCTATGGTCACCCAACTTGTAAGTGACTGGCTTGAACTCAGGTCTCTCTGGCCTCACAGCCTGAACTCTCAGAAGTATGCCATTCAACCACTTTAACCACCCATGGGCAGATTCCCACTGCCGGAGGGAATACATGTCTGGCATTTGGTGGGGTCGGGGGCAGGGAGGTCCTGTGAGAGCTCTCTCGGAATCACATTTTCTTACCCCAGCAACTGGTAGAGGCTAACGATTGGAAGCTTATTTTCCACAGGGTCAGGTGTGGATCTGGCTTCAGAAAGCCTTGGGGGCAGGATGGGGGGAACTTCTGGATTCCTGGGACTCACTCGGGCTTAGCTCATGTAGGTGGGGGTGGTGGGGTGGGCAAAGCTGGGTAAGGCGCTAGATAATACTGCCTTATATTAATCAGACTGTGACTTTTTTTTTAGTTTATATTGTCCATGAACTATTATAACAGAAGCATTTTCTTAAAGATAAAACTACATATCAGCAATATGAATTACAGATACAGCTCATTGGATTCATGCAGTCCCTTCCCAACAATTTGAGGTGATTCTTGTGATCCTGGAATCTAAACATGGCATCATTATCACATTCTTGACCACATGCAGTTGGTACAGGAGGGATGCTAACCTTCTAGATGTCACATGATAGCAGCAGCAAGTAGGAGACCAAATATCTTACGGTTTTCATAAATAGGAGGAGACATGTTCACCTTACGGTTTTGAACATTTGAAGTTCTTCCCATTGTCAAGGTGCTGGGCAGCACTGGTGACATTCTGTCTTTCAGACTCTTAAATCTGGTGGTGGCCAGTCCGATGTTTTGTCACTCTGCACACTTCTGTCTCTGGGCCAGGGTGTCTGCAATGTTCAGAGCAGGCATTTCAGTGCTAAGAAAAAAAGGAGGGAACAGGTTGCTTACAGCCTTGGTTTCATCTCTGGGCTGTTGGGTGCGATAGAACAGAGGAAGAGAACAGAGAAGAGACACGAATAGCAAATCTTATTATGGTGTTCTCAATACTCTGACATATCCAACCACAGAATCACGTGGCTCTTCTTTTTTTTTTTTAATTTTAAAGGAAACATTAGTCAATTCACTGTTATTTCCAACAGTGCAACTGAGTTTGAGGTGTTTGGTGTGTCTTATGCCTCCTTCCACAGAAGAAAGGAGTCGGGGGCGATTCCTCATCCCTGTCAGAGGACACGTTCCCAGGAAACCTGTGTGGATCCTCCCTGACTGGCCACCTTCTTCCATTTTATGAACGCAGTATGTTTTCTGTGACAGTGCTGCCTGCACTGCTGATGACAAAGCTTTGGGAACTGGACACGACGAGTGCCGGGGCCATGTCTTCGGGGTCTTCCGTCTCGGGTCGGCGGTCCCCCCCCACAGGCCCTTGCAGGCCCGTGTCCTGCGCAGTCAGTTCTGAGTCTGTCTCCCCGCACTGCAGCGGGAGCAGTGCCTGGTGTCTGGTCAGGGTCTCGTTGCTTCTCTGGGCCTCCAGGGAGTGCTGGTGCGTGGAATTCCTGGGAGCCATGGCACTCTTCCGAGGCTCGTCAAAGCTCAGTGAGAAGGTGACAGTGCCACTGCCGAAGATGACCTTCTGCTTGCATCTGGGCTGTGGCCGTAGGGTCAGGGGTTGCCGTGGCAGCGACTCTTGCTGGGGCAGGGCCAGTGGCGGCTGCTGCAGCTTCTGCCTCTCGGGCTGTGGGAAGGGGTCTTCGCTGTTGCTCTTGCTGCTGATGGAGGAGGAGGGCGTGGAGCCCGTGGAACCCCCGAGGCTGCTGGACCGCTTGCGGGAGACGTTGCTGCGGCGCAGCGTGGCCCGGGCTGCCACCTTGAAAGCATGAGCAGCAGTGCTGCAGCGCACCTCCTCGATGGTGTTACGGGATGGCTTGACGAGGATGATGTAGACCTTGTTGAAGAAGATGCAGGCCAGCAAGCCAAAGCTGGCTGCCAGGATGGCGATCACTTCCACGGCAGAGACAAACTTGCCGTAGGTGCTGGCGTAGGCTGGAATGAAGGAGATCCAGACGATGAAGAAGATGAGCATGCTGAAGGTGATGAACTTGGCTTCATTGAAGTTCTCTGGCAGCTTCCGGGACTTGAAGGCAAAGAAGAAGCAGATGGCAGCCAGCAGGCAGGTGTAGCCAATCAAGAAGCCCAGGGCCATAAGGGAGCCCTCATGGCATGTGATAAAGATGATCTCATCCTCCAGCTCATGGTTGCGGTAGCTTGAGGGTGGGGCGGTGTAGAGCCAGATCACGCAGATGACAATCTGCATGAAGGTGCAGAGGAAGACCAGCAGGAACTGCAGGTTGAGCCCCCACCACTTGCGGTGGAAGCTCGTGGGGATCTTGGCCTCAAACACCAGGAGGACACGATTGGTTTTCACCAGGATGCATGATATGCAGAGCACGAAGCTGATACCAAAGGCTGGCTGGCGCAGGCGGCATGTCCAGTCCTGGGGCTCACCAATGAAGAACAGGGAGCTGGAGAAGCAGCAGAGCAAGGAGAAGAGGAGGAGGTAGGAGAGCTCTCGGTTGGTGGCCTTGACGATGGGTGTGTTACGGAACTTGATGAAGACACCCAGCACGAAGGCTGTCAAGAAAATGCCCAGCACGGCAAAGAGGGTGAGTGCAATCCCAAAGGGCTCTGTCCAGGACAGAAACTCAATCTCTTTGGCAATGCAGGAAGTGTGGTTTTCATTGGACCAGAAGTCATCGGGGCACTTGTCACAGGCACTTGCATCTGTAAATTATTCCAGGGAAGAGTGTTACTGTGTGGCATAGACTATAATTTGTGAGTGTGAATGTGGTGGTAAGGGTATACAGGTTATTGGATGTGGTCAATGTAAATTTTCTTTGTTGATGAAATGATTGGGATTTTTACATTACAAACATATTGAACTTTGACTTATGTTTAATATACTTATTTAATTTTACATAATTATAATAGTTCTGTTATTTCTTTCCTTCGTACACGGTGGGGGGTGGTGCTACATGTTTCTTTTAGCACTACTTGCTGATGGCTTACAGCAGAGAATGATCAATCTTGCTCTACAGGTGGCTACCTACATACTAGGGGTCTAGCATCGTTCATCACCTTTCCATCGTGATTCGCACTCAGCCTGACTCATTTTGGATGTATGGACTTTGTGGACATGCCAGAGCAGACTTTGTGGACATGCCAGAGCAGACTTCCTCTTAGATCAAGGCAGAGTATCCCGCACAAATGACCTGTGCCTTCCTTACTCCACATCCGTGCCTTTCCAATGAGGGAGGCTGCAGACTCATTCAGTCAATAGACATTTATTAAGTCTCTGCTATGTCCCAAACAGCATGCAGTTTTGGGGAGTGAAAGGAGCATGGGCTTTCAGTCAGAGATTTGAATGGGAATCCTGGCTCTGCCATTTACTAGCTGTGTGACTTTGGTCAGGCTTCTTAACCTCTCTGAGCCTCAGTTTCAATCATCTCTGTAATGGAAGCAATAATCCCATTATTGTGGTGAGGATGAAATGAGAGAATAACAATAATAACAATTATAGTTAATATTTATAGGGTGCCTCCAATATGTCAAGTAAGGTTTTTATTTAACATTTATCTAGAACTTACCATATGCTATACCAATATTAACTCATTTAATTCCCCAAACTCTATAAAATAGGTTTTTTATTCCCGTTATAGTTGAAGAAACTGAGGCACAGGAAAAGCATAAGTAAGACAGCAAATACAATACCAGGCATCCAGCAGCCAATATATCATGGCCTATTAACTCTGTAGTCTGGAACAGACAGAACTTTGTCTATTCAGCGTTACTGAGCTGTAAGAAAAGGATTACAATATTGGAGAGTGGTATCAAAGTAAAAGAAAGATGTCTAAGCTTTTATAGTATTACAAGACATCTAATATTTCTTTTCTGTCCCTCTCAGTGCCTGGCCCAGTGTGACTCTCAGACATACCTTGTTAAATGAGAAACTGTGCTAAGTACCTTCTCAGCCTAGCCCTTTCAGGGACTTCACTGACCCCAGGGCCCCCAAGTGGACCAAGCCTTGCATTGTGTCCATGAGGGCATGTTCCTTTACCTGTTTCATCACTGTACTCCCCATCAGGACACTCCACACACTCAAAGCAGCAGGTGGGCTCCCCCTCAATGATTCCTTTCCTGGTCCCTGCCAGGCAGTCTCGGCTGCAGTTGGAAAATGGCACCTGAAGAACCGAGAGCACAAAAGTGAAGGGCTGCAGCTGTGGGATCAGTTTCACAGCTCCTTTGACGTAAGTACAGGGGAGGAGTTTGTACACAAGGACCAGTACAACAGACTTCAGGCCCATTCCAGACAGAGGAAGCTCCAGAGATCCTTGTTCCTGTTATCTACGAAAGGGAGAGATGTCCATGGGCAAGTGGCTGCACATGTGCACGCACACACACACACACACATACATACACACACACACACATTCATGGGATTCTTGGAAGATTAGTTGTTGTGACTTTGCACAGTGACCAAAATCCACCTTAAATAATCCCCCGTTCCATTCCCTCCAAGTCCCAGAATGGCACACCTGTTTACTTTCCATGGAAACAGAAGTTTAAGACAAACTAAAAGATACAGGGACATGGACCTACACACAGGACATTACAAGGGGGAGATGCTGAGATGAGGAGAAGTTTGTTTGAAATAAGACTTTGAACTTTGCAGTGAATTGCAATTCCTGCAATTTTATTTTAGGCTTTATAGGGAGACTTCTGAGATACTTGCCACCATTCAGCAAGGCAGGCAGGACAGGCATAGAGGGGTCAAAAGTAAATGAATCAGAAAGATAATGTCAGGCAATTACTATCCAAAAGAAATCTGCAATAGCTACATTAATTTCAGATAACAGAGATTTTATTTGTTTGTTTGTTTGTTTATTTATTTCCTTCCTTAGTGGACTTCAGGTGCATGGAATTTGATCATAATCCTTGTTTTTTTCTCATCATTATTTATTCATGTTTCAATCACTTTTAGTCAGTCATTTTTAATGATTACCGCCCAAAACAAAAGCTAGGACCAGAATAACCTACATATAACTGTATGCTTTCCTCCACCTCTTGCTCCCCACCCCCCCCACCACATATTCATACCCAAGATGACCACTATTCTGTGTTTACCACAGGAAAATAACACTAAACTTTCAAGGAGCAGATGAATTTAATCTTATGTGACTTCTATCAAAGGTTTAAAAAAAAAGAAGGAACACCCTCAACTCATTCTTATAAGGCCAGTGTAACCCTGATTCCAAAACCAGACAAGAGCAGTATGAAAAAGAAAAAAAAAATTACAGGCTTATCTCACTACTTTGTCTTCAGAGGCATACCTGAGTTGAGGATCTGTGTACAAGTAGTTTATAAAGAAAGTTCTCTCAAGGGAACCAGGAAGAGAATGGAGCAAGTCAGACACAGAAGGGAACAAGACAGCAAGGGTGTGATCTTGAGCAAAGACCCTCAGAGAGTAGCTTCTGCCTGATCCCACAGGAGAACTCTGGACTGTAAGTTGTTCCTCAGAGCTGTCCTGACCTGAGGAAAAGGGAGCCAGAGATTTCATACTTCCACACCACTCATTGTTAAGGGTCATCTTAGGGAAATGTAAATTCCTAGGCTCCTCTGCCTCTCTGAGCCTGTGGGCAAAGTGGGTTCCATTAGCCTGCTGGTAGTCTCCTGAAAAAGAGTGGTGAGTTTTGGTTATTGGAAGCAAAAATATATAGAAGTCCTGGAGGTATATATAACGTATAGGAATCTGAAAGGACCTGGAAAGAGTACAACTATTTTTTACCACTTGAAAAAAGATGAAAAATACTGAAACAATTAACAAACTCAAAGGACATAAGACACAATATATACCATGATCATGTTGGGTTTATGCCAGGAATGCAAACAAGTTCATCATTAGAAAATCTATAAATGTCATCCCTGCATTAATAAATTAATGCAGAAAAGCCATACAATCATCAGTAGATGAAGACAAAGCATTTGATGAAATTCAACACAAACTTATGATTAAAAACTGAACTGAAAAAGGAATTAGGAAGAAATATCTTTAACTTGCAAAGGGTAATATAAAAAATTCTTAAACATCATTCTATATGAGAAAATATAAAAGCATTTCTTTTAAAACAAGAATGCCCACTATCACCACTATTATTAAACATTGAGTTCATAGCTAGTGGAATAAGACAAGAAAAGTAAGGGCATAAATATTGGAACGAAGTCAATAAAACTATTATTATTTGCAGATGATATGATTGTCCACATAGAAAACTTACAAGAAACAGCAACCAAATTATTAGAAATAATTGGGGAGCTGCCCCAAGCTAAAATGCCACGGACTTTTCTTACCCAAATTTCATTAGTTTTTCTTAAAAAGACACTTCACCTTTTGTTTGCTTTTGGTTGATTGCCAGATCCTTAAATAGTCGTTTTTGACAGTTTTGTCCAGTTTATTGCTTCACCATTTCAGAAGCTCTACTTCTGTCTCATTCCATATGATCATGTCAGATAACATGGAAGGGCTCATACTATTTCCAAAATGTCTCTTTAATAAGACTCTTCCCTTCTCTTCCCATCTACCTGCTTGGTTTGGAGACATCTTACAGAGTTAAATGCATGGAAAACAATGAAACTGCTTTGCTCTAACAGAAAAGAAATAACTGGTGTGACAAGAAGTTTTTTAAAAAACTTGAATAGAAGATGATTGGCATTATCTTCTAATGAAAGAAGGATAGAAAGGGCAGTATTGGACCTGATGATCTCTAAGTTTCTTGGGACCCTGGAGTCCAGGGAAAGGAAGGAAAAGAAATAATGAAGGACAGTACACATTAGCACTCTGAACCATAGTAACACAGTACTCTCAGAGATTTTATCTTTCCCAGGTTATCAACCCATTTAATCTAAGAAATTGTCCTTTTGATTTATAAGTCAGCCTTGAGCTATTTGGATGACAGGGAACTAACTCTGTGTGAATTGTCTGGGCCCTGCCTTGAATGATGTTTATGTTTGCTTAAATATTTTGCTCTAGTTGGGGAAGTTTTAAGTGAGGAAATTGTTAGTCATTTAGTCAAGGAGTCAGACTTATAAAGAATAACAAATTTTCCAATATAGTAAGTATGGGACTCAGGTTCTGAGGATTCTCCTCCGTACACTAAACACTGATGGATTTCACAGGGAACCTTGGCAGTGCAGAGTTAGTAAGTTGAGGGAAGTGGAGTTATCATTTTTCAAGTCCAGTGGTGAAGCCCAAGGCCCTCCCAAAGCCCAGCACAATTTCCTCCCCATGCTGGAGGCATCTGTTGTTCTGATGGACAGCACATACCTCCCTGGAGAACCCACTCCACAGGATTTTCTCCTCATTGATGAAGAGCCTTTCTCCTTTCTTGGCATAGACGTTGTAATATCCGACTTCCTTAAACACTATGGAGCCATCCTCTGGGGAGAGGTGCCAGTTGATGATGGAGTAGTTCCCCATCAGGTCACCACATTCATCGAAAGTCACCTGCTCCCCCATATTGTTGGTAAAGTTTAGGTGCCGTAGGTGCTTCAGGACCTAAAGAGGAACAGAGATTCTGAGAACAAGCCACAGGGCTTCCATGTATGGTTGAATATGTTGGGTACTGCACAAGGACAGTAAACTATCTTGTTCTAACAAAGTGGAAGGAACATAACTTTTAGGAAGAGGCACCTTTTTCTAATTTACACTAAGGTACTTGCATGTGTTAGCGGCAGCCCTGGTAAGCCTTGGGCTTTACTTGGTATTCAGATGGTAACTGGGGTAAGAAACACTTTCTTGAAGTCAGGAAAGTAAAATGGGTACATCTCACTATGGCCCCTGGCCAAATCAAATCTTCTGCAGGAACATCGTCAACTGGTGGTGCCCCAGGAGGGGCAGGGTTTGTAAGCCAGAGCCATTTGTGATGTATTCTAAGATGGGTTTTGGGGAAGGAGTGGAGGCATGAAGTACTCTTATAATTTGCACCATCTTTATTCTACTGCCTCTGTGGAAGTGTCTTGCTGCCAAAGATCACAGAGCTGGTGGGTGGAAGGAAGAAATAAATGAGGCTGTGGGTGGAGCCCTTGCTATATATGTCACATAGCTCTTGTACAAAAATTAGTGATAATAATTATTATATCTTAGTAGTCATTTTACTACATTTTAGGCACAAATGCTAAATACTTTATATTCATTATCTAATCTTTACAACAAATAGTACTATCACCCCCATTTTATTGATGGGGAAAGTGAGGCATAGAAATGGAAGTATCTTGTTTAGGGTCACACAGTTAGCAAGTGATGCAAAGCCTGCGCTCTTAATGGCTGTGCTTTGTTGTAGCATCATTAGGCTCCTGGCTTTGCTTCCTGTGTGCCCCTGACATGGATCAGGAGGAGGCAGGGGACACTCAGCTCCTTTCATGTGGGACGTGCCAGGGGTCACTGAGCCACCAAGAGAGATTAAGATACGGCCTAGCCTGTGAATGTAGGGATGCTTGCTTCTGCTGCACCTCACAAGTCACTGGGCTTTATCACTTTCCAGCTCTGAGCATGTTTCCTCACTTTTGTAAGGAGAGTGCTGGGCCAGAGAGGCAGCAGGGTCTCTGCAAACTCTAGCATGGACTTCTGTTCTGTGGTTTGGTGGTCCCAGGAGTACATCTAGAGGCACCTCTCCCTTTTATCATTATTTTTAGGGTAGCTAAAAAACCAATATCTAATCTGACACTGGGAACAAGTTTGGGTTGAGTCTGTCTAATGGATGGCCTTACTGAGGCCTAGCACTCATTATCCATATTAATATGCATGACAAACTGAGCTGACTGAGCTAGACCTTTAATGTTCCACTCCTTGAGGGCACCTTTAATGTTCCACTCCATTCCAGAACTGACACTGCTTTTTAACAATATCTATCGGTCTTGAGTTTATTTTCAAATAAACTTTTATTTTAAGGAAAATTAAATGGGGAAAAGGAGTTACCTGAATTTGCTCATAAACAACTCTGGAACAAGTCAAGGGACAGAGTCTATGGGAGACCACATATGCACACAAACACACCACCCTGGGTACCTCATCTAACCTTCTGTATGTGATTTACTCCCTTAGTGTCCTCTTTGCTACCCTGGTAGACTCTGGCCGCCCTGACTTTTGCCCAGACCTATGGTGGAAGAGGGAGTGCCTCACTCCTTGCTATCTGTTCTTCTGTTCTGCAACCAGAACTGCCTAGCTATCCTCAAAAAAGATTGAGAATCAATCCTACTAAGGATTCGTGCCACCTGTGTTCTCCAGAGCCTTCCTCAGTGGTCATCAGTGTTCTATTTTTTCCTTCATTTTTACTGAGCTCTTAAACCTGTCTGCAGAAAGGTGCCCCAGATATGCTCCTTCTTTATACCTCCAGCTCTCCTTCCTTTTGGAATGATCTGGCCTCTTCCTATACAGAGTGATGTCTGTGGTGTCACTTTTGCCTCTACCCCAATGCATCCCTGTCCTGACACAGCCTTCTTTCCCTGAGAGGAACATACAGTCCTTCTACTCTGTAAGGCTGACCCTCTCTTGCAGCACTTAGAACCTCATTCCTCCCGCCCACTCTGGAACCTTTCTGACATGGTCAATCTACCCTTCTCCATTCCATAATCATACTCTTCCCACATCCTGCTGGGGACCTATCATGGCTCAGATGAAATATGCTTCAAACTTCTCTAGGTAGCTTCCAAAACCTTCCATACTTTGGTCCCACATACCCACCATTACTTTTCAGTGCAAGGGTTTTATCCTAATCGTACAGTTTCCATGGTCCTTTCCACAATTGTGCTAACTCTGTCTTTCCTCTGATGTGTGTAAAAGGAGATGAAAAGAGTGGAGAGGCAGGGAACTACCTCTTAGTTATACTTCTATGTGCCAGCCATTGTACTAATGCTTTACACAATATCTCATTTAATCCTCACAACAACTCTATTATTATCTTTATTTTATAGATGAGGAAATGGAGGAATAGAGAGGTCAAGAAACTTGCCAGTCATAAGCTAGGAAGTTCTTGAGTTTTGATTGAAACATGAGCTTTTCCTACTGCACCATCCTGTGTCCAATATAAATTGTTTAGAGTGTCCATGGCAAGTATTTGTCAGTAATATTTCCTCATTAAATATATTTTTAAAAAGCATCACTCTTATTTGAAGAACAATTTTAAAAGCACATAAAGCAGTAAAACTAGAGTATCTAGTATAAATTTACTTTTTATTCAGCTTTGATTCCTTGGTTCTCAATATGCCAGGCATCAAACTTCCTCTCTCCTTTTTTCTGTCTATAGGTTCTCTGCAGTGAAACTCTCTAGGCATCAGTGGGTGAATAGAGAAGGGAACAGGGACAATCATTTTATAATTAAATGGTTTTCTTCTGCATTGATCAGACTGGACAGAAAAGTGACTCAAGGATCACCACTGGCTATAATCCTTTTGCATCCCATTGCTATTGGCATGGGAATGGAGATTTCTACCATAATCTTAATTTGAATGAAGAAGGAGCTAATCAAAAACCATTCTCTTAAAGTTTCCATTAAAAAACTCATTGTAAATACAAGGTGAGATTTGTATGCCGTTAGAATCAATCAACAAGTAAATATAGACTATCCACTATGTTCTGAACTAGGCTGCAGTAGTATAAGGCATAGTAATATAGTCCTCATGGAGTTTACAAATGGGTTAGGGAGATAAGGAATAAGACAGAAATATTGGATGAAGTAACAAACCATGTGAGATAAAATATAGTTAAGTGCTAACTTATGGGGTATCACCTCTAAATACAGCTAACGTTAGGAGAGATGGAAATTAAAAAGGACTGAAAAGGTCAATACAGGCTTGAGGCATGGTAGAAAATTGGATTGGCAAAGGACAGAAGGAAGGATGGTGTTAACAGTGAGAACAGTACGGACAAAGATCAAGTTAGGAATAAACATGAAGTGTTACGGGGGCAGTAAAGAAACCAGCTTCTTAAAATTCGTGTATGTGCTAGAGAACAAGGGGAAATAAAGTAGATAAGTAAAGAGGAGCAAAGGCAAAGAGGCTAGATTTCATTAAAAAAAAGGCACAGGACTAGATAATAATGGATTGATGAGAATGTAGAGAAATCAGAATCTTTCATACACTGCTGGTGGGGATGTATAATGGTGCAGACACTTTGGAAAACATTCAGACACTTCTTCAAAAAGTTAAAAATAGAGTTACCACTCAACCCAGCAATTCTACTCTTATGTGTCATCCCAAGAAAAATGAAAACATATATCCACACAAAAACTTGAACTCGGCTGCAACAACTTCTTGCAAGACACGTCTCTAAAGGCAAGGGAAACAAAAGCAAAAATGAACTATTGGGACTTCATCAAGATAAAAAGCTTCTGCACAGCAAGAGAAACAGTCAACAAAACTAAAAGGCAACTTATGAAATGGGAGAAGATATTTGCAAATGACATATTGGATAAAGGGCTGGTATCCAAGATCTATAAAGAACTTACCAAACTCAACACTCAAAAGCAAAAAATCCAGTCAAGAAATGGGCAGAAGAGATGGACAGACATTTTTCCAAAGAAGACATACAAATGGCCAACAGACACATGAAAAAGTGCTCCACATCTCTTGTCATCAGGTAAATAGAAATTAAAACCACAATGAGATACCACCTAACACCAATTAGAATGGCTAAAATTAACAAGGCAGGAAACAACAAGTATTGGCAAGGATGTGGAGAAAGGGGAACCCTCTTACACTGTTGGTGGGAATGCAAACTGGTACAGCCACTCTGGAAAACAGTATGGACGTTCCTCAAGAAGTTAAAAATATTGGGGCACCTGGGTGGCTCAGTCGTTAAGCGTCTGCCTTCAGCTCAGGTCATGATCCCAGGGTCCTGGGATCGAGCCCCGCATCGGGCTCCCTGCTCAGCGGGAAGCCTGCTTCTCCTCTCCCACTCCCCTTGCTTGTGTTCCCTCTCTTGCTGTCTCTCTCTCTGTCAAATAAATAAATAAAATCTTTAAAAAAAAAGAAGTTAAAAATGGAGCTACCCTACGACCCAGCAATTGCGCTACTGGGTATTTACCACAAAGATACAGATGTAGTGATCCGAAGGGGCACTTGCACCCCAATGTTCATAGCAGCAATGTCCACAATAGCCAAACTGTGGCAAGAGCCAAGATGTCCTTCAACAGATGAACAGATGTGGTTTATATATACAATGGAATATTACTCAGCCATCAGAAAGGATGAATACTTACCATTTACATTGACCTGGATGGAACTGGAGGGTATTATGCTAAGTGAAATAAGTCAAGCAGAGAAAGACAATTATCATACGGTTTCACTCATATGTGGAATATAAGAAATAGCGCAGAGGATCATAGGGGAAGGGAGGAAAAACTGGGAAGAAATCAGAGAGAGAGAGACAAACCATGAAAGACTCTTGACTCTGAGAAACAAACTATTGGTTGCAGAAGGGGAGGTGGGTGGGAGATGGGGTAACTGGGTGATGGTCATTAAGGAGGGCATGTGATGTGATGAGCACTGGGTGTTACATGC